TGATGATGATGATGATGATGATGATGATGATGATGATGATGATAATGACGACGACGATGATGATGATGATGCTGATCACTGTGGTGCGCATGCGGATACAAACTTTACGCCGACATAATACATAAGAACTGTCATTATAACGAACTAAACAATTTTGACATGACTTTGCTGCTAACTATTATTTAACCTAGTTGCCGTAACCTAAACGATGAAAATTTCATATATAAACAAACACTTACAAATCATTCGGTCCACGTAGAGTGCATGCGTACCCGGACCGACAGTGTGCGACGAAGTATATCTTTATAAAAAATGTCATAAACTCAATTCAGTGTTGCAGCACATTAACCAAAGCTTTACGACTGAGAAGTAAGCTTATTTAAAAACACAACAATCCATCGTTTCCACAATATGGCTGCTCTATCACCCCCCTCCTAAGTCAACCTTCAAGTGATTCCTATATGAATTCACGTGACAGCACCAAACCTCAAACATAGTGCATTCGCGGCAGGTTATCCCTACAAGAAATAACACCGTCCCCCCTTTTGAATTAACTAAATTCAACAGCGACAGTGTTAATTAATTTGAAACACCTTCTAAAAGAACTATTTTAGTCCTCGGTTTCTTCTTATTTACAGGTTCAACGGGTTCATTTAGCTTGAATACTTCAAAAATCTTCATGAAGTGCCGATATCCAGAATCGCTTGGATTCGGGTCTAGGATGCTCTGAATTTACTCTACTTCCACGTCGGGTTCGGGGTCAGATTGGCCATCGTGGTTATCTCTCTTCTCCTCTTGCCGCAGTATATTCGTCTTCTTTTTTTCCTTCGTTTTCTTCTTGTTCTTCGACTTACTCGTATCCGGGTTATGGGCGGTGTCTGTAGATTGTCCTCATAACGAAGGTATACACCTCTCTCTCTCTCTCTCAGCAAACTCATTTTCGTCCTCTTCGAGTTCAGCCTTTTCCCTTGCCTGATGATTCTCTGGGAGGGTCGCGTTGTGATCATCACCGACTCGGTACGCTTGCTCTGTCCGGAATGCAAAAACCTTCACCAGTGCATGTGGCAAAATTATCGGCTTATAGGATTTGGTGGGAGTGGTGGTGGTGGTGGAGGTAATGGTTGTGGTG